GTATTCCCGCAGAATACTCTGAATCAATAGAAAAATATTTTCAGCATTATGCTGATCATTGAAATCACGAAATGCAAGAACACGTTTATGCATAATCCAATCACTATCTATCCAATGACAAGTAACACCCATATAAGACAAATTATGATAAGTTTCACTCCAAATATCAGAACAAATAGCAACACGAGAATTAAAATTGAGAAAAAAATTTGCCAAATTTATTTTTCCACTTTTATACTGACGAATAATTTCTCGTTTAATTGTTTTTCTTGAAAAACCTCGTGCTTGAGGGTTTAATGCCTGTTAACAATAATCAATAAATCTAAGTTTTTCAGAAAACATGTATGGCAAATTTTCTTCACAAATCATTTCGGACATTTTTTGCTTATTTTGCTCATCGCTATAAGCAAAAAGGCCGCCCTTACCTCTGTTTGCAAACCGAGAATTTTGGGTTTGCACTTCTTGTCGTCCCTTCTTTTTTGCCTCGTATTTGGCGTACTCCACGGGATGCCTCGACCTTAGGTGTTTTTCCGGACCGCCATAACCGCCAGAAACTCCCATTTTTATGACGGTCCGGCAATGTTTACAAGTTCCATAAACTACGCAATCTTTTGTGTCTTTGTCAAAATGATAAACAAATAAATCTGATTTATATTTTTTTTTACCTTTATCCGGACCTCGAGAGGTCTCGGGCTCACCTACCTCCACGTCGACGTCGTTGCTCTGCGGTGTAGGCTCCTCGTCCCCGTCCAGATTATCAAGATTTGCTTCATCAAGATCTTCGAATACACTATCAAGAGTGGGGAGATTTGCGTCCCCTCTACCAGAATAAATCTGGTCGAATTCTTCATCCGTCATAGCATCCCCGATTAAGTGATCGGGGATAGTAGGAAAGGAAGAGACGGAGTGTCTTCCTCGAGAAACGCGTGAGGTCGAACCGTCGGAGGTGGCTTTAGCTTTGCCTCTCCTCAAACTTCGGTTCACGGTGCCCATATCCACGGACCTTCTACCGGACTCTCTCGACATTTTAATATATATATTTTTTGATATAAAAAAATAATATATTTAATAGAAAATTTAAAAAAAATTCGAAATTTTATATATTAAAATTTTGAAAATTTCAAAAAAATAGAGAATATATTTAAAATATAAATTATATATTTTTTGATATTAAGGAAATATTAAATTTCGAAAATTTCAAATAATTTCAAAATTTTTTATATTAAAATATAATATATTTAAAAAAGAATGTATAAAAGAGATAATAAGATATTAAGATTGAGAAATTAAAATTTGAGATTTGAGAGATTGTTAAGAAATAAGAATGATTGAATGAATGAATGAATAATGATAGATTGAGAGATTGAAATTTGAGAGAATGAGAGATGGATTGAGTTGAGTGTGATTTTTTTAGGAGAAAAAATTGGTATTTATAAAAAATTTAA